CTCCAATTCCTCCAAAGTTCAAAACTCCYACTATGAAGCCATATGATGGGTCTAAGGATCCAAAGGATTATGTAGAGGTCTTTGAAGGCCTCATGGATTTTCAGGCAGCATCAGATGTCATAAAGTGCCGCGCCTTCCAGATCGCGCTGACCGGCAGCGCGCGCTTATGGTACAGAAGATTGGCGGCTAGGTTGATCTCGACCTACTCTCAGCTGAGGAAAGAGTTTATTAGTCAATTCTTTTCTCGGCATTACGACCGAAAAACAACGACTCACCTTGCTACCTGACTGGGATGTTTATGCTGAACGCACGCGCTAAGCGTGGTAACAAGTTGGACCTGGTCCTCGACCATTCTTGCGTCAAGGTCGCGCTGAGTACCATTATCAGGGTTCAAACCCTTCCGTTCTGTCGTGTTAGCAGAGTTTGCTGGCTGCACCGTATATTTCTTAGGTCGGGATGACTTAGGTTGTTTTTCGTTCCCACAGACGGCGCCAAATGTTTATACAAGGGTTTGCACAACGGTTCTTCACGAATCAAGCTCGAACCCGGTCTCCGGTTCCGACCTGAGCACTAGGGTGGACCTGCACAAGAGGGTAAAGACTCCGACGCTCAAGTCAGTATAGATCGGACTCCGTACTTAGTTCGAGGTGAGATTCGATACCTGAGCGTGAAATGAAGCCCTCTATTTATAGGTGATGGATCCGACAGTACACACGACCGGCGGTTATATGTCTTTTTTCATGTCGAGCCTGTTAGCTTCCAAGCAGGTCGGACCCAAGCCAGGTCGAACCTTGACGCCCATACTTAGCCTTTTATAACTGGCGAACCCGGTCTCCTCGACAGGGCCGAGGTGGACCTAGGCAATCCCTCTTATTCAGTTTCTTCAAACACCAATAATAGTCCTCCACGTGTCCTGAGTATATTTTACCCCCAAACAGAGATCATTGGAACACAAATGGTTCCTTATTCTGATTTAGGTATATATTAAATATTCTATATACTTTTTAGACATACATATTGCATAATGAATAAAAATGATAAAATTAGGCATAGGATGATGTTCCTCGTATTGAGAAAATTGTGGAAGAGGAAGCAATACGCGATGACACAAACGAAGCAAGACGAGGAAGGAAATGAAGTGAAGAATATGAGGTAATAAAATCTTATTATTTGAATATGATTTTAAATAGTAGTATATTTAAAAGTTATAATTGCAGGAGGACGTACAAGATTCCAATTATAGAAAACATTAATAAATTGAGAAAGGAACGACGCGTTAAGAACAAAGAAAACAAGATATGAAAACTGGTGAGGAAGAAATTGGAAGAGAATACGAAAAAATACTACATATACTTTTATCTTTGTTATAGACTTTTTTAACATGGATCTTTATTTGAAAATCGATTGATTTACAGATAGTGCAGAGTGTGGACGTCGTGAATGAAGAAAAAAGGAAAATATGACAGGGGAGTTTTTGGGAGGAAAACGAGCTGAGGTTTATGTGGTATCTATTATATATACTCCAATTATAATAAAACATTTATTATAAGTACATATTGACAAGTAGATTTTTTAAATTCAAGATGCTCCATTTTTAATTTCAAGGGAGCGTGTGGTTAAATAGCCAAAAAAATTAAAATATATGGAAGATTAGATTTCTGGGAAATATTAAGCAAATGTTGTCTGAAAAACATCTAAAGCAAGTTTAGAAATACATGTTTTGATAGATTCTTAAACGTAAAGAAAAAAAAAATCTTAGCCAACTACTTAGTCATTTGATCAGGTGACAATGTAGTCCTTTACCGGTAGATGATATAAATTGTACCTTTGTAGGAAAGTCTTACACTTTGGAATAAGATAATTCGAGAAAACTATTGGACTTAATTCTTGAGAACTAACTTCAGTAAACTTCAAAAAAACTCAGTGGGAGATTCTTGGAGAAATATTTTGACAAATCAAAAAATATATCTTGAATGGAATAGAAGGAGTAGAGAAAAATGATATGGTTAAGATGGCTAAACTATTTGTATTGGGTAATTTCATATTGGGGAAACAAACAAAAATATGGATTGAAGTAGAATACATAAAGCTACTGGATGACGATGAACAATTTGAAAAATATCACGAGAGGTGTGTTTCCTTTAACACAACGATCAAGTTAGCCAAAAAAAGCGAAAAAAATAAATAAATAAATAAATCCTGATGCATCACTTGTTGGATTATCTGATACCATTACTTTCGACAGACAAAACAACATATAAAAAATATGTATCTTCTGGGATACCTCTAATGATAAATTGGGAGGCAAACATACAACTAGAATGGATGGAGATAACGATGAGGATTTTTTAGAATTAAGATGCAAGAGTTTTGATAAATCATGTATATATTTTTGTATAATGAGTTCTTCGTGTATATTAACAATGTTGCTTTGTTCAATTTATGCCAACACTATGTTAGAAAGGATTGAGGATACATAGAAGGAGGGAAAACAACCATTTTTTGGGATAATTTTGTGACTTAACGACTGCAGGTTTAGAGAAGGAGTTAGAAGCAGCCAAGAAAGAAGGAGGTCCAGACACTTCCTCATTATGGATGGAAAATTTTGAGTTTGGAGACATGAGAAAGGAAAAATTTGAGGCAATGCAACCATCGACCATTCGAGCCGCATCA